TGCCAAACAAGTTGCTTTATTTGTTAGGAGAGGAAACATTTTGTGAACTGTTCAGTAATCTTTTGATTGCTTTATTTTATAGTGCATGTGACTTTTTTAGATTTTTTAACAAACAGCATTGGTAATGAAAACTCTTTGTAAACGATACGAGTAAACATGTTTTTTGAAAAATTCTTGGTTGTTTTTGCGGATAATTGCTTGTTAGCTTTTAGTAAAGTGAAGTATGAAAAATATGGATCGGCGCGAATTTCTAATTGGATTTTAATAGTTTATTTATGTATCATGGGAGTAAACAACTATTTTAATCCCGAGGATGTAGGTAATGTCTGAGGCGTCCAAAGGGTTTAATATTTATTTAATAGTAACAAGAAAACGATAAATTTATCAAATCATGACAAATAATTTGTCAAAATATTCAGTTCATTCAATGGCAATTTTAAGAGTAAAAATAGGTATTTTATTAGTTTTATTTTTGAAAGAATAAAACGTCACTTTCTTTGTAGGAAGGAAATATAATATATAAGCATTGATAACAAAAACCACATTTTGATTTTCATTATTTTAAAATTTTCTGAGTGATTAATTTTTATTAAGTTTAGTTTAGTAGAAAAAATGAGAACAGAATATTTTCAAAAAAAAAAAAACAGTATACTGAAGCAATAACAATAAAGTCTAATGGTGTCCCAATTTCAACACGTTCAATAATCAACCAGTGTGAGTCATTCTTAAATGAAAAAGCGAGTTACACGGTCCAATTACGTCAACATAACCAAAAAGTGGACATACTTAAATTCAATTTCTGTCCATACAATCTGTACAACTTTTCTAATGATACAATCCATCAAAACTTCATAAAAATCTTTTGGTTAAATTGTAATTTTTTCTGTTCACTTTTGATCACGTTTGGAAAAAATTTAGTTATGGACAGCTTAATTTTGAATAAGAGAAACAAAAAATACATCATTTTTTTAAGGTACCGGTAGCCCGGCACCTCCACCATTTTTTTTGTCAAACGTTTTTCTGCTTTTTTCTAATAATACAGGTTTTTCTAATTAAAGATAAAGTTTTTATATAGTTCTTATACGGGATGTTCCGTTTTTATTGTTATAAATTTAAACACACCCTCTTTTAATGGTTTTTTTCCAATATTTCAGAAATTTAGATAAAATTCAGTCAAAAATTAATGTTACAGACCATAAACAGCATTAAAACAGCATTTAAAATTATTTTTTTTTATTCTGTACACACCTCCAGCTTAGGTTTAAACCTCTGATTAAAAATTTACTCATTAGATCTTTGAATTCGTTTACCAGTAGGTGTATTATCAGTTGTGCCAAATTTTGTAATTTTATCTAAGTATAACAGTTTTTGTATTGGGAAAAACTCATTAAAAAACATTTTAAGGATTGTAGCGCATAAATCTTTTCGATACATGTTCATAAACTTTTGTTTAAAATATTCTATTCTACCACCTGTTTAAATTAAAACGGAACAACCTGTATATTAAAGGTTTAATAGTAACTATTGTTACTAAAATTAAAAGTTTAATGAGTAACTAAAGTAATTAAAAATCAACAAAGAATATTGTTGTTCTATAATAGTCGTAGAAAAAGCATTTTTTCTGATTCAGCTTTCTTATTCAACACACGAAATTGTACTCCATTTGTACCATTCAAAATTTGAGAATTAATTACCAACTCAAACAGGCGCTTTGTATAATATTTCTTGAACATTTTTTATTAATAAAAATAAAACTAGAGAAAAACCAGTAAAATGGTATGTTGCATTGTTTCCTGCACAAAATCGTAAAAATGAAATCCTGAAATATTAGTTTAAAAAATATATATTAGTTTAAAATTGAAATTACAAACTCACAAAAGTGAAGGTGACTAAATTTGTTGATTTGCATTTTATAACGAAAATGTCAGTTTATTTAACAAGTAGAAGAACAAGTAGAAATTCATTTTTATTACTTTTCCCTCACAGATGGTTTATACTGCGGTTTTTAATGCGGTTAGATATGAGGACCCAAATAATGAGGGTCGGCTTATGAACACGACATTTTCTACTTTTCTGAGTATACAGTAATTTGTCAAATATATTTTTTTAATTTCAATGTTTTTGATCAAATAAAAAAACAACATCTTTTAAACATTTTTACGAGGGTTTTTGATGTCTTGAAACTAACCTAAGAAAAGATAAAAACAGTTAACAGGAGGTAAAAGTATTAACACGTAAATCTTAATGGCCAAATTTGTATTGTATCAGAAGAATAGTCTTTATATGCTTATTTATTTCAAAAAATTGTAAAAGAATTTGCATGGAATGAGGTGACAGAAAAAGAAACTCAAATTAAAATTGTTTTCCTTAATACACGGTAATTGACGATTGAGACGTACTTTAGATATTTCCATAAAAGTGAGTTTAGTTTAAGTTTCAAAGTTTAATCAAACTTCATTAATAACTGTTTAGTAAAAGTGAAATTGCGAGTAGGTTGTAGATACTCTGTTGGTTGTTTAGTTCATCGTAATTTTTGTGAGTAGAATAATCCAGTAGAAAATTGTTGATTGTATTTTTGTGTGCATGTCGTCCTGGATGTTAATAAAGAGCAGGCAAATTAGAGTTTTTCAATTTTTTACATGTAGACATGTAGCAGGTTTTTCCATTTTTCATATTTTTGTTCAAATTTCAAAAATAAGCGTCGAGGTTTCTTCTCTACCGTTGTCAACTTTACTACTTCTAGCCCAGTCAAATTAAACAAATCGGCGGAAAAAAATTCTAGAGTTGGATTTTTTTGAACGCTTTTTTTACACTTGGGTAGACATATATCAAAAGTCCCGATGGTGGAGGGCGAGCTCGAGGAGGGGGGGGGGGGTGATTAAAGGTGTCTTTTTTTGTTTTTTTGCATATATCTCGGAAATTATCACTCCTATGGGTTTTTATCTTCTTATCAAAATTAAAGCTTAAATTTGCTACAAAAATGGTCTTTTGCATTTTTGTTGTAGGACTAACCGTAAGCGAGTTACAGGGCAGACAAAAAACATCATTTAAAAAAATGTGCTTTATCGCATTTAAAACAGATTTAGTCTTGTAATTAAAAAAAAACTGACAGTAAATTGAATTTACTGGGTCCAATACTTCATTAAAGGAAGGTGGAGTCACGAGTCTATAAATACAAACTCATCGTTTATGTAATTTATGCAGAATTTTCTGTAAAAGTCTATTTCTGCATCAAAATTTCCTAAAAAATGGTCCTATTTATTTTTGTCGTAGGACCAACCGTAGGCTTCAAAAGTTTGGAGTCTACATAAAATTGTTTTAAAAATCCTTTGAAACACATTTCATTAGTATATGGTAAGTATTTATATGTGTAGAGCGTTCTCCAACTAAGCTGGTCTGCCTGAAAGGTGACTCGGGTGTAAACATTTAAACGGAGATATAAATAAAAATTGTGGATGAAAGAAAGAATCAATCTGTAAGGGGGTTAAATGGGGTGTAAATGTTTAAACAAAGATATAAACATAAAATTCTTTAGAGGTGTAAAAAGGCACTAAAATCTGATTTTTCGAAAATTAGTTTTTAAATGAATAAAACGGTTAAAGGGATATAAAAACATTAAATTTAGAAAATATGATCCTTAGAGAGTGTAGAAGTGCACTTTTCAAATTTTAATGAAATAAAATAGAGTTTAAACGCTTAAAAACAAAATTAGAAACATGAAATTTCGAATTTTGAGAGTGCAGATGTACACTGAGACGACACTTTATGAAAATCAACATTTAATATTTATCCATAAACATAGCCCATGTGAAGAAGGAGACTATTATAACTGAATCCTATACATAACATAGGTAATTATCTTGCTTTATACTATTATCTTTCTACTATTATCCCTACTTTTTGGTTTCAGCGTTGTGCAGTCCTCAGTTTAAATTAAAATATCTTTGAAACGGTCCATTTTAGGGGTATGAAAGGTTATGCGTTTTTTATTCGAAATTGACTACTCTATCGATTTGGGCAATAAAAAATTGGTGTTAAGAGAGCAAAAAAATGGAAAAACACAGAAAATGTGAGCTGCAACTGCTGGAACCGGAAATTGAGTGTATGTATCCGGTTTTCGTGATTACCAGTTTAAAGGGTATGTTGTCACAGGGAAATGTTCTAAATTTTATAATATTTGGTCAACTAGTTCCAAAGTTATTCCAAAAAAATCAAATTTCCATACCCACATTCCGAGGGCTGTAAAATTCTTATCAGTAGAGATAGGACACGAGTTATTATTTAAATTAACATCATTTTATAGGTCATTTTTGAGGTTCAAATATTGCTTCATATTTACGAATAACCCTGTAGAGTACCTAAGCCTATGGAATGGCTTTGTGAACGGGCTTTTTCCCATTTTATATCAGAAATACACGCGGACAAAGTCGCAGGCAAATGCTAGTTCAGCATATAAGGATGACCCGGAAGACTTTATAGACTCTCTAATAAAGTGTTGCACCCAATAAATTCAATTTGCTTTCAGTTTTTTCAAATCACAAGATTAATTCTGATGATGTTTTTTGTCAGCCCTATAACTCGCTTACAGTTAGTCCTACAACAAAAATGCAAAGGACCATTTTTGTAGTCTTTAAATTTGATAAGCAGGCAAAAACCGTTAGGAGTAATAGTTTCCGAGATATAAGCAAAAAACCAAAAAAATACACCTTTAGCCCCCTCCCCCTCCTCGAGCTCGCCCCCCACCTTCGGGGACTTTTGATTTATGTCTATCCAAGAATAAAGAAAGCGTTTAAAAAAAAAATCCAACTCTCTAGGATTTTTTCCACCGATCGCCCTATTTTTGTCTAATTTGACTGGGCTATTCAAATCAACTCACTTCTGATTTTATAAATGGCTTTTTCATGAACCTACCCTTCACATTGTTTCATCTTTGACCATCTCGCTTCCTAATTTGCCTGTGGTGCGTTTAGAATTTTTCGACGTCTTCTTACTCTTTGCAGGCAAAGTGGACGAGAAAGCGACCCAACTACACGCCATCGCCTCTCTGAAAGTCCTTTTGGACGCGACGAAACCTCAAAACGGCGCCGCCACCAGTTCGGCCGCCAACCACGTAACCACCGCCGCCAAACAAGAAACAATGCTGGCACCCTCCAGCATCGCAGACATGCCCAACGGCGTCGCCAACGCACTCACTGACGTCAATTTGGAAGCGGTAAGTTATCGCAAAATCTAAATGTGCGGAAATTCGCACAGGTGTTTTGTTCGCTACATGGGGGTTGTTGCAAATATAGATCACAATAGAGGATGAGGAAGATGACGTGATTATTAATTGAGAATTAGGTGGAGTCACTACGATAGGGGCAACGTGGATTTTTTGGTGATTTTCAACAAAGGATGCGAAAAAGACCTGTTTGAGGGTTATGTTGTCATAAAGCGTTAAGTCGGAATGGCCGCATTTGCGACATTTGTTTCAGAGGGATTTGGACAGATTTAGAAGGGAAAGTGGGATAAGTATGCAATTTAGGATTACGCAACGTGTACTAGACACAGATTAAGAAGCTTCTAATAAATTATAATGAGGTTTGGAATAACTTGTACAAATTTTTCAAATTTAATTGCAATTGACAACGAACAAACAAAGTACTCGTGTACTCGTATCTATTAATTATTAGTAATTTTAGGAATAACTGGCAAAATCTAGAATTACATGAAAATATCGAAGATTAAGCACGGAATGAATCCGCTGATTAAGAATACTAAAGTTCTAATATTTGCTCACAATAATTTCATTAGAAATATGTAGTAGAATTTTAAGTTTTATGTAGGCCAAACTTAGTGATACAATTAAATTTTTATTTCAAGATTTTATTTGTCGCCTATGACACAGAACCGCCAACAAAGTGACTTAACTTTTTGTACTAAACAGGATAACATGTATTCTAGTCTTCAAGTGCTTTACCAAATATGCAGGTATATTTTTTATTCACAATTACTATAGTAATATACCAGTTCATAACATTTTAAAAAGTAATATAAAGTCTGTTTTTTCTTTAAATGGAAATTACCAAGTCAAAATTTTGGTGAAAAAATTGGTAGCAGCTTATCTCCAGAGCCACAAATTTAATTTTTTTGTTTTTGTCCCTAGAAATTATGTTAAAAAATTACACTACCCAATTTTTTTTGTGGTTGATCTATTGACACGTGTATCACTAACATCCCTAATTATGAATTTGATAAGAAAAAATCTCCATCACGTACAGATTTTAAGTTACGGGAAAATAGTTTTCTCAAATTTTATCGTAAAAATTGTTCATTTCAAATTGAAATTAATTAAATAGACGACGAAAGAAATGAATTTATTCACTAAACAAGAACAATGTTGAAAGATGTATAAGTTTCTAACATAAATCTGTTGTAGATGAGTTTTTTGCAAAAGCTGACTTTCTTTTGTAGGGTGTTTTAACTTCCCTTATCAGAAATCAGCAGTAATCCCCTATCATAGCTGGATCTCATCTCCCTTGGTACCTCTTTTCCATCGTCAATATATCCTGGTGGAACCTTTCCCCTTGCTCGTCACTAACGGCACTCAAATTTCGGGGGAAAAATTTTAATGAGAATGGAGAAAATGAATTTTAAGTATTTCGTTTTTCGGCGATTTTGTCGATCATACTTACATATGATATCTTAAAATGCGTATCTTACGAGCTATGGAATTTTCTTTATCATTTTTGAGTTTAGCACATAGAATTGAACAAAAAATAACAGTTTTCCTCTCAGTCAAAATACTTCTTGGCTAGTGTTGTGGTTATGTTTTTATGTTGTGATGTTAAAATTTAACTTTTATGAATCTTGTAAGCCTTTATAATCGAATACCTGAAGACAGACATCACTACCTAATGTCCAAAGACAGAAATCAGTGCTAAGTAAGTACAATATCGTGGACAAAAATGAGCTTCTTACTACAAAAACTTTAATAAAAAAGGGTGTCTATATAGAAAAAAAGTTATTTTGCAAAAGATTCAAGCAAGGTTTATGAAGATCGGCAATTAATTTTGTGTAATTTATTGAAATGAGCTCAAAGTTGATGCATTTTCTAAATTCTCCTTCGGCTTTAGTTTCAAATTTGTTACTTGTTCAACTCGTTCTTCAAAAACATTGCAACCAGACCTACTAATTTAATTGCGTTCTTTCTTTTTGACGTTTATGTTGTATTCTCATCAATTTCTTACTAAAAATTAGAGCAAACCTGCATTACAAATTGCGCCTAAATTTTAGCGGTGGTCTTTTTCTGACTTCTGCTTGCACACTTTTCGTCTTCAAGTTTCCAAAAACTGTTCGCGGTACCCAATTGTCCCCGTTTTTGTGTTTTCGTTTTTAAATTTTCGTAGACGACTTTTTTGCTGACGTTTAATGACATCTTTTTAATTGAATCAAAACCCGGAACTGCCAACTTCCTTTATAAAAATTACCATGTATGAATTTGTTAGGGGTGCCAACGTTAAGACTGTTTGACATTTCCATTTAATAAAAAAAACAGACTTTACTATTTTTTAATATTATTATCGTATCAACAAGAAATTACTCCCTGGGATTTAGGGATATTCGTGAATAGGTTGCTATAAATTTGATTAGGTTGGTTTTTGGTAACAAACAAAAGATATCGTAACCAGTGTCAAAATTTAGGTTAAGTCACCTGTCAGCTTGTATGGATAATTCAATTGATAGTTGACAGCAGGTTGACAGAAAACGTCAACCGTCAACAACAAGGGGTAACCAACCCCTTCATTCAAAATTACTTCTGAAAATTCTAGTTACAAACAACATGAAAAACGCAATTTTCCTAAAAGTTTAAATCCTAGGTGGTAATTTCTTGTTGACAAATCTGTATTGCATTTGAAAATTAGGACGGGTACAAATTAATGTTTGTAGTTTAGAATTACGTAAAATTAACGGAATTAATTTAAAATAATAGTAAATAATTTGAAAACACTGAAATTACCTACATTGGATAACTCAAATATAGGAAATACTCGTAGTTGTTCAAATATTTTTTAAGCTGTCATCGGCCCCTCGGTTTAGATATAAATATGCTCACTTCTGGTTTTTAATAAGTACTAGGTATGTTTATTGATATTTATTAAGTAGTAAAAAGGTCCCTATACACACTGCCCACTTCTAAGGAAAACACCCCCGATTTTAAGGTATATTTTAAAATTAACATTTTTCGAAGATTTTACTCTGTTATAGTAACAATAGAGGATTAGGATAATTATAGAACTATTTATGTCAAAAATAGATAAAATTTATTTAAAAGAATCATATGAGTTTGAAAATTCGGTGTATACCCAAACAGTATACGCTTCAGAAAATGACCAAGTTTTAAAAATTCTACAAATCATTCCATACTTATTGATTTCAGAACCAAGAGAGGAAACAAATGTTGAGAAGGACATTGAAATTTATAATACTATTAATTCTCATACTAATTTCCCACAGCAAATGATTTGTAGAATTTTTAAAACTTGGTCATTTTTTGAAGCTTATACCGTTTGGGTATACACCGAATTTTCAAACTCATGATTCTTTTAAATAAATTTTATCTATTTTTGACATAAGTAGTTCTATAATTATCCTAATCCTCTATTATTACTATAACTGAGTAAAATCTTTGAAAAATGTTAATTTTAAAATATACCTTAAAAACGACGGTGTTTTCACGATTTTTTCTGCTTTTCTGTTCACCCTTGAAAATCGGGGGTGTTTTCACAATTTTTTCTGCTTTTCTGTTTACCATTGAAAATCGGGGTGTTTTCCTTAAAAATGTTAATTTTAAAATATACCTTAAAATCGGGGGTGTTTTCCTTAGAAGTGGAGAGTGTGCAAAGGGGTCCTTATACTACTTTGTTACTAAATATTACATTACATTTTTTAAACATTATTAGAAAATAATAATTCTTATCATTTTTGAAACCATTTTTGCAAGTCAAATAAAGTTTTATCGTTATTTTGTTAAAAAAAAACTTTAATGATGCATCCACTATTTTTGTAAAGTGTTTCTCCAATTTTTGACAATGTTTTGGATATTTATAAAATCTGTCCGTTTTTAATATTGCGTTTTTATATTAAATTTTGGATATTTTATGTGTAAATTTAGTTCCCCAACCAGCTTGAGTGAAGACGTCCATCAGTGTGATTATTAATGACATATCAACAATCCGTCCATTTCTAAAGCTCCCAATTTCAACATTCAATTTTGTTTCTAAAATTATTAATTGCTATTGCCGGTTTATACAGTTTAATCAGTTGTTTTTCCGATGTGTTCAAAAGTTAGGACGCTGTTTTCAAAACAAAGTCCATTTGGTTGGTAACTTGACATTTTCAGTCGCCAAAGGAAAGGACGCTATCATCAAAAGAAAGTCCGGTTTTAACGTTTTTAAATTTCTAAAAGCATACAACAGATCGGACTTTCTTTTGATGATAGCATCCTTTTTTTTGAAAAGTCGACCTTACTTTTTGACTGCAAATGTCAAATTGATAATCAGACATTGTTGAAAACAATTGTTGAATAAATAACAGATTAGACTGTAATTTTCCGTAATTCGTATTAATGCTATACATATAACAAATTTTCATCGTAATTAATTCGCGTAAAAACCAGAAAACCGTGTTTACCAAGAAAATATACATTTGAAAGGGCTGAACCATTAATCATCCTGGACTTTATCATGGCATAAATTTAAGACAAAAGTTGAGATAAACAATGATTTAGGAAAAAATACATTTTGTGGATGATCTGCATAATAAAAATTTATAAAAGTGTATCTCGTATGTCAACCAAATCTACCTAATTAAGCTAGCAATCGCTGCTAGTTTATTGTTGGATTCCTCATCCTCTACAATTTCACATCTAGAAAATAACTTAAAGCGAAGTTACTGCCTGTTGTTTTATTTTAAAAACTAGCAATTTCCATGGAAATCCGATCCAATTGTGAGTTGTTTGTCTTTGGTGTTACACCTGTTTGTTGATTTCTGTTGTTTGCCTTTTAACCGTATTTCTTGCACGAGAGATGTTTTAAAATCAGTTATATTTTCTTAACGTTGCAATCGTTTGAGAAAATTCCCAATTCAATTCTATAATGGCCTTTTCACAGCCATTGAGTAGCTCATATTTCAACTGCTGTTTATGGCAGCTGAATCGATCGAATTAACGAAAATAAAATAATGGCTGAAAGGTCACTCTTAACACCAAGGAAGATCACCTCTTCGAATCCCCCCCGTCTTGTAGGTAGTTTTTTGAAACAAAACTTTTACACCTTTGTTGATTTTGTATCTAATATGTTTTTATTGTACCGAGTCCACAATTTACGGGCTTAATCCTGTCTAATCTTCAAAATTTAAGGTAATATTATCGATGTAGTTGTCCTAGACAAACATGCAAATGTGCTTAAAGTGCTTAACGCTTAGACCATTTTCAACATTATTTATAGTATCCACATCCCCCATTTTGGTATATACGACGTTATATACCCAGTAGATAGAAGTTGTTGCTTTTTGTCGTGTTAATTGCCAAGAAATAGCCCAACATAACAATCATGAACCATTTTTTTAAATCATTCATCATCATACAGCCAAAGCCAATCAAAACGACCACCGCACGCAAAAAATCTATTGCACAAGTTTTACACAATAATAGACATTTTTTATAAAAAAAACAGGTTTATAAAAATATAGCAATCAGGACTTGCGTGAAGTATGAATCTTAAACTCGTTTAGCCTTTCTATTGTTTTTTTATATTTTTATATTTAGTTGTATTATCCTTATTAGGCATCATAGTGTTCCGTTTTTATTGTTACAAATTTAAACAGGTGATAGGATATCCAATTCTAAGCCAAAAGTTTCCTATAATCATGTATCGAAAAATGCTTGGTAAGGGAGCTATACTCCTTAAAAGGGGGTAATAGGTTTTTGCTAATATTTCAGAAACCATTTAAGATAAAATTGCAAAATTTTATACACCTAAACGAATTCAAACATCAAATGTCGAAATTTTTAATCAGGGGCGTCCGAAACTGGTGGGGTTTAAATAAAAAATAAAAATACCCTATCTATTTTAGCTTTAGTTTCTTTAGTTATGCATTGACCAAAATGGTGATCACTTTGAACAACTCCTTTAGATTTAGGCAAATTCATTTAATTAATGTTATTATTGTTACTGTAATGTAATGTTAATTAGTTGATGATGATTAAAAAATATGAATTTTTTGCTTTTATTATTCTGTAAATTCTGATTTATTTGAATGTTATATTGGTGTGTAACATAAGTTTTAAATTAATTTTATTCAATAACAATAAGTCGTATCGACACAAGAGAGACTTTTCTGGAACTGAAGATTTTGTTGCTACCAAAAAACTAAAGCCAAAATAAATAGGGTATTTTTTTACCTTAAACTCCCTCAGTTTCGTTCGCCCCTGATTAAAAATTTCGACATTTGATGTTTGAATTCGTTTAGGTGTATAAAGATTATCATCTGTACCAAATTTTGTAATTTTACCTAAAATAGTTTCTGAAATATTAGCGAAAACATATTAGCCCCCTTCCAGGGGGTGTAGCTCCCTTACCAAATATTTTTTGATACATGTTTATAGAAAACTTTTGTCTTAGAATTGAATATCCTATCACCTGTTTAAATTTGTAACAATAAAAACGGAACAACCCTGTATATTCTATACATACAGATTGTCCGGAAAGTCGCGCACCTCCGTAACACTGTATCATCGGGCGGTGCCCTAGACAACAAGAACAATGTTTAAAAAAATCTATCCATAAAAATTTTAAAGTTTAAATTTTGCACTTTGACTCTATTTATTTCTGTTGGAAAAATAATTTTCCAAGTTTTTTTCTACAGGGTATTAGAAGAGGAAACAAAGAAGCTATATCATAAGTTAACTCTGTTTATTAGTGTTATTTGTGGCTTTTATAGGCAAGATTTTTGTATCTCTACTAAATAATTATAAGAAAATATATACAAGATCATCAGTATCATTAAATGGATATCATTAATGGATGTCAAAAAACAAATGTCAAAATTTTTTGACAGATAGAATTTTTTAAACATTTTTTCAGTACTCTGTAGGACTACCCAATTACCCCCTTTCAAGGAGATACGCGACTTTCCGGACACCTGTATATTAAATATAGAATGTAATTGTTGTAAAACCTGACGTGAAAACTAAACCAAAAATTAATACAAATCTAATAGAGATACACAAAAAAGCCATCTTGTTTAAAAAACTAAGAAATACTGTTTTGCCTTTGGATGTATAAAAAAAGCTAAAATACCTCTTTTTGTCAACTTCAATTCACATTGTTGTGAAATTAAAAATCCAACATCCTTCAGAATAACCAAATTTTGTGAAATAAATCAAATAAAGAAATAAATTTGTGTCAAAGTCCTAACACTCTTAATTACACAGGTTCGGTAACATTGATGAAAATTTGATCAATTGCAGTTTTTTACATCCTAAATAACAAAATGCGTTTTGTTTTTTGATAACACGTACTGTTTATTTGTTGCATTTTTTACAAATAATTTATGTAATACATTTTCTGCACTCCCACGTGGAAGGTAGTTTACTTTAATCAACGTTACCGAAAGTTTGTTCATATTTGTTGACCTGTGTTATTAGGAAAATCAGTTTTTTTTAATAAAACAATGGTGTTATTTAGTGAAAATAGCAAATTTTGGTAAATTTAAAAAGATGAGGGCGTTTTGCGTTATAAATTGTTATAGAAAAAATCCAAGGGCCTATAAAAGCCAAATTATGTCCGCTTTTGGGTGTTTAGAAACAAGTTTATACAGGGTTATTCATAAATATGAAGCAATATTTGAACCTCATAAATGATCTATAAAATGATGTTAATTTAAATAATAACTCGTGTCCGACCTCTACTGATAAGAATTTTACAGCCTTCGGAATGTGGGTATAGATTTTTTTTGTAATACTAATAACTTCGGAACCATTAGACTAAATATTATAAAATTTGGAATGGTTTCTTGCGAGAACATACCTTTTGAACTAGTAATTACGAAAACCGGATACATCTACTCAATTTCCGGTTCCAGCAATTGCAGGTCATATTTTATGTGTTTTTTTTTTTTGTTTTTTAGCTTCTTAACATGTATTTTGTGTGGTTAACACAACCACAGTTAACACAACAGAGTAATCAATTTTGAATAAAAAACGCATAACCTTTAATACCTCTAAAATGGACCGTTTTAAAGATATCTTAATTTAAAGTGAGAACTATACTATTATTTATATTAATGTGCATCAAGTAGGTTGTAGAATTCTAAATGCATCTTTAATTTAAAGGCCGATTCACACAAATAGTGTCATTAATGTCATTCAGAACAAATTTAATCACATCAATAATGACAAAAATCTTTATGTTTGTCACCCTACGCTAATTACGTTGTTAGCTTCGATTATTTTTTGCTTTCTCAAAAACTGGGGTACACATTTTTAAGGGGGATTGAGGTTAAGGTTGTTTGAATTTTCGCATGGTCGCCAACTTAAAATGATCCTTTTCAACGACTACTTTAATATGAAAACGACTATACACAACACTGAAAGCAAAAAGTATGAATTTTGAATGAGTGATATCCACGGTAACAAATGACCATATTTTACTATCAGGCATCTGTCAACTTGAGATTGGACGATTATTAGACGATCGAAAATATTTAATAAAAGAGTTTAGCTCAGACTCCAAACATAACTTAGAATAAATCCAAATGGATCTCGTAGCATTTAATTCATAAAAAATTCACAAAAATGTATCGTCAAAGTTAACAGATGCCTGGCAGGGATTTATGTGTCATTGTCATTGGTTGCCGTGGATACCACTTATTCCAAATCCATATTTTTCATTTTCAGCCTTGTGCAGTCCTCACTTTAAATTAAAATATCTTTAAAATGGCCCATTTTAGTGGTATAAAAGGTTATGCGTTTTTTAATCGAAATTGATTACTCTTTAGATCTAAGCAATAAAAAATTAGTGTTGAGAGGCCAAAAAAACGGAAAAACGCAGAAAATGTGACCTGCAACTGCTGGAACCGGAAATTGAGTGGATGTATCCGGTTTTCGTAATTACTAGTTCAAAAGGTATGTTCTCGCAAGTAACTATTGTAAATTTTATAATATTTGGTCAAATGGTTCCAAAGTTATTAGAAAAAAAATAAATTTCCATACCCACATTCCCGAGGGCTGTGAAATTCTTATCACACCACACGAGTTATTATTTAATAAGTTATTATTTAAATTAACATCCATTTTTAAGGTTCGAATATTGCTTCATATTTATGAATACCCCTATACATAGTTCCAAAATACAATGAAATTATTGTTGAAATCTTATTATTATTTGTAATTGGTTTTCACTTTTGATGTAATAAAATGAGAGATGTGCGATGTTCTGTCGATTTCATTGCCAGTGGCTGTTTCGTAGACTTTTCAATCCAAACTCCCATCATTTAGTTCAAAAAGGTAGTTGATGGGCTTAAGTAGCAGTAAATGGTTTGGCGGTCTAGCACACGAATAATTCATTGCAAGCGAGAGTTGAAGTAATTGTTACAAGCGGGATTAAGCTTTCCACACACTGACACATCATGGATATCGGTTCTGTTTCTTTTTATCAATGTGAAGCCGATGTCCATCTTTTCTTCTCCGTAGTTTATCAAAATTTTTACCCATAAAATGACTAAGTTTTCTGATTCTAGCGACGCATGTCGTCTGTACGTGCACGTAAGTCACTGACCTCACAAGCAGTGGTGTGTCTGCAGGTTGGAGAGACTGAGGAGGAGCCCCCAGAAGCCATGGACATGGGCTGGCCTTCGACTACCCGCAAGAGAATCACGTACATTCTCTTAGCACCCATTGTCTTCCCTCTGTGGCTGACTTTGCCCGACACGCGCTCACCTAGAGGTTTGTTTGACCAAAAATTTTTTCTCACACAATTGCTCTAAATCGGATAGATACTTTACAACTTCAAAATTGTGCACTTAAGGCTGTCCGGGAGTGAACGGCGACTTGCCCGTTTTCAGCACTTATAGAAAAATCATTTTCGTAAGACCTACTAAAAATTTTATGACACATTATAAGAGATTAACCAAACAATGGCTTGAATTTGTAACCCTCCATAAATGGCACGTTCCTTTGCAAGTTGTTGTATTTCAAGTATTTTAGACAAAAAGAAAGTAAATAATCCGGCCCTGTTAAAAACTGACCTGTTTCAGGGTCCGGGTGGGTTCCACTAATTTATGATTTATGGTTTACTCTTAACAATACTGCATTTAACTTAAAAGTAATAAAATTTTTAGTAGGTCTTAGCAAAATGATATTAGTATATTATTCTTTTTCAAAAGCAACCAGCAATACACCCTAGGCAGGGTCCAAACTCAGTCTTTACCTGCGTTCAGGGGTTGGGTTAGTAAGGGTAATAAATTGTAATAAAAGTAAAAGATCAGTTCGCTAATATTTGTATGCCTTGAATTTGTGGAAGTTGCTCCAGAAATTTCTTAGAAAGCTAAATATTGTTCTGACTTTTGGATCTTAAAAAAAATCTATCATAATTATTCTATCTACCTGATAGGTTGCACATATTTACTAATTAGAAAGCTTAGAGGTTCCAATTTCAATGGAAATTAAATTTTTGTATGGGGTAACAAGACATATAATTCCATAAATTAAGATTTTTACAATCGGAAAAATTACAAATTTATGCAATTGTGGACTCAAAATTTTAGACATCAAGTTATGTCAGTTCAAAAAATATTAACGTAAGCCACGCTTTAGTGTCATTATGATTGACGCTTGGATCTAAAACTTGAAAGTTTTAGTTGAAATTTATTTTAGGCGTCGATTTCCTAATACATACAATAATGCCAGCAGTTGCAGTACGTTTTTTATATAGTTATTATTTTTTTAATATTATTTTGAATTATTGTCATTTTTATTTAGCTGTCAGCATAAAAACTACAACAATAAAAAAAATTGCACTTAAAGTCAGTTTTACATTTTATGTCAACCGAATAACAAATAGTTCAAAATTTTGTGTCGGTACATGGATCTAAAAATCTAATTTACAATGCGCGCAATAAAATTCATATTCTTTGGAGGGGCATTTATGATTTTTCTAACTAGGTTTTTTTAGTTTAAAAGTGTAGGTCCTTGTTTTCCATTGCAATTTTTTGTCATTGACCACATGTATGGGTACCACTAATCGTAAAAAAATGCGAAGTTTTCATTTATAGTTTATGTCTCATAAAAAAAAAGATTGTGATAGGCCGAATTATTTTTTATGAAGAACAACGATAAATTAAAAAACAAAAAGGATCTCTTCAATGATTTTTTTTCATAGTTGCCCCGCTAAAAAACTATTTGTTTTAGACTTCTGGCGAGCATTTGTTAAAAAGTAATAATTTTTTTGTATACGCTCTCGAAACAACCTGAGTCTTTGCTGGACCCAGTAAAATAGTATGAAAAATGGTTATATTATGTATGTACTCAATATCCAAAATACAGTTTTTCATAACGGATAAGTCAATTTAGTTGCTATGGTGGCGAAATTTGTTTAATTAATAATAGGTGTAAATTTGTTGTATAATAAATTATTTTGTCTGATTTTTGTTGCTATTTATTAATTAGATAATAAATAATCTTTTTTCGAAAAAAAAAATGATCAGGTCTACTAAACACGGGTGATTCGATAGAAGTACAATTCCATCAAAATTAGCTTGTTTTTTTCATTTCACGTCAAATGTTTCTGCTTCTAGTTTTCTAATAATAATAACTGAAAATTATTATGCTAATGACCATAATCCGTCCTTTGCTTGGGTTGGTACAAGGGCAGGTAAAGACCCTGAATCCTCCAGAGAAGCGGCGCTGGCAACGCCTCTAGTGGTAAAAGCAATGAACTAGGAGGCATTTTTGGGCAAAATATATTTATTAAAAATTTGAAAACAACAGTGTTTTATTACATTTGTTGAATTTGTTAAGATTTAATATTTTATAATAAATACCAAAACCTTAAAACGAATCTTTAGGTCTACCGTTAAATATCGTGACTTTTACATCAATCACAATATCTCAAAAACTAAACGCTTTTTTAAAAGTCCAACGTATCGGCCTATAGAATATTCTTTTAAATTATCTCACAAAAACCAAAATTGATTACTTGAAAAATGACTGAGTAAAGTTGTTTTCAAGTTCACCATTTATGCATTTTTGTTCTTTTTTTAAAAGAATTGATTTATTTTAAATCTCAACGTATCGGCCTGTACATTTACAAAACCTTTATTTTGATGTATAATACATGAAATTCTGTTGCATATTAAGAGAGTAATCTTGTTTTCAATATACTAACGTCTCGAATGGTTGGTCGCGGACACCCTTAATAGTCGACAAGGCCAAAATTGATAGATTTAAATGAAAGACAATAAAAGAGACGTGCTATTTCCTTAAGGAATGGAATTGTAGAATTGGCAAACCTTGAAAAGTGGGATAAAAGCAAAGCTCGAAGAGCTTCGTGTCGGTAATTGACGTCGAAGAGACGCAGACGCAGTGAAAACTTGTTCCAGAAATCTCTCACGCGAGCGCCACGTGGGCTGGAACGATTTTAGCAAATTCCCAAAATTTGCCCGATGAATATAAACCAGAGATTATTTCAATTTTCCGACTTCTAATTTTTAATTAAATTGCAGTCATTTTTATTACGTACTTGAAAAGTTGTAAAATAAATATATTACAAATTTATGTAAGATAATAATTATCAGCACGCAATGTTGTAAACTTCATTCAAAGTGCATTGAAGTAATTAAATCTTTCTGGTGATCAAGAATGACAATTTGAGTTCGCAATGTTGATTTTTTTGTTTAAATGGTACGACGAGAGTAACTTAAGGTTGTTGCCAAATTATACTCTTTATATTTCTCTGAGTCAAATCTACTCGTATTTGTATGTTGCATTAAATATTTAATAATGTTTTACTTATTTTAACTTTATTTGTATTTTTGTGGGTTATTATCTCGTGTTATCAAAATTAAAAAAAGAACGGTATGAAAAACGAACTAATTCGAGTAAAGTGAGCAATTTAGAAAAAGACATGGCGCGCATTATATGGAAATTTTATAACCACTTAAACTGAACGACCTTTATATCAATGGACACGTCTTGAAAGTCTGATATTATATCTTCAAATGTTTGCTTCCTTAATTGGAAACTTTTTTCTTTTATCTCGAAAACACGAATTTTTACTGAATTAGTAATTCCACAATTTGTTCAATAACTTGCACCATGCGTTCAATTTTATCAAAATTCCCTGTGGACGTTCTTCTGTTTATTTGGTGGAGAGTTTAAATTAAGTTGGTAACATTAATTAATGTATAGACAAAAGATGAGACTTGTACATTCTCATGGCTTCTGTTTCCATGTTTTTCAATATGTTGCCAATTTAATTTTAAAGTCACTTTGATCAGAAATTTAACTGAAAGCATGATATATTACATTAATAATGTACATTCATTAGAATCTTAATTTTGGTTTATATTATCCTAAAAACAGTTAAAGCACGATGTTCTTAGAAAAACCTAATATTTTAACTATCCAATTAAGTTAATTCTAGATTAAACTAGTAAAAACTAGCATTAAGAATAATGTTCTCAGTTGATTCCAGTTATGACTAATAGAGGAGCAGACAAACAGTCCTTCTTTTAAGAAATAATTTTAATGTTTGATATCAGTGACAATAAATGTGAATTTTTTTTTACAAATTGGACACAGTTTGACACTAATTTTACGGCTGGAGTACTTGGGCATTTTACAAAAAAACTTTAAAAGCCTTTATCTCAATTCATAAAAACATGGACAAACTGCATTTTGAAAGTCTGCTCCTCAATAGTATTAATAAGTTGAAGAATGTATAGTCGAGAACAAAATTTTTGATTTCAGAGCTGTATTTGGGTTAATTCGCCGATGTGAGCAAGGGGCAGGGGGCACAAAATTGAAGCTTATAACATTTTCAACGAGATGGTCTTTTATGGTTTTTTATCTAAAATACTTAATAGTTTCGGGATATTTGCTAGCAAATATCGCACTCTCGAAGAAAGTCAATTATGAATTAACGTAATTTACGATTCATGTAAAAATTGTAAGCATAATGATTGGGCAGTTTAAGGTCGGCCATTATAATAATATGAAAAACCAATCACATAGATTTTTCGATTCATTCAAAAAAATTATGCTGTGATGTGATTGGTTCGTTTGAGGTCGGCCATCATAATAACGTACGAAGCCAATCACTGTACACTTTAGATTCATTCAAAAATGTAGCGAAATTGGTTATTTCCGATCTGCATTCGGTCATTAAATAATTTTACGTTCTTTATTATGATTTGTGAGTAGGTTCTCTGACTGTGATTGTAAATATTGTACTTTAGATTTCGTTATTCTTTGACTGGGAAATAAAACCGTAATAAAAATGGTAATAACATTTTCGTGCAAAAAAACATAACCTCACTTTCTTTTAAGGGAGAAGGGAGGTTATTAATAAGATAGGTAAGTATTATACGGAAAAACCGAAAATATCGTCTTGTAGGAAATTTTATAACCTTTATTTTTTTTCGCAACACACTCCTCATCACGGAGGACCTGGGAGTTTTAATATGTTTATCTCTGAACTAAAACCAAGACAACTCTAAAGTCATAAATTCTATCCTCGACTATGTGTTCTATTACCATTTTTTAAGTTTTCATTTGGACTATTTGTAATTTTTAGTTTTAACTAAGATTGACAGACAGTTGTAATTTTAGTTAAAACTAGAAGTATCTAAAGAGGATAGCTAAAACTAGTTTTTCCTAGAATGATCGGGTTTTAGCGAAAGACACTTGGCTAATTAATTTATTTTGTTAAATTTTTAAAATGATGTCAAAAAATGAGCCAAATCTTATAGTTTTGTAGGTTTATTGCCACATGTTTTAGTTAAAACGTAATGTTTAAAACATGAGCAGCGATAAAACTCCTCACCCTGAATACCGACTGTCTGCACACAATGTTTTTTGGCTGGTTGTTTTAAGCTAAATTTTCATTAATCGATTTAAATTTTCCGCCTTCTCATATTTTTTCAAAATAAATCATCTTTTCGACTCATTTGACACAAAAACTCTTAAGCAGGAAATATTTGGAATGTGAGTTTAAAAACATTATAAAAAAAATAAATTGGGGTGAAGAAATTAAAGAGGTTTAAAGAGAAAATGAGAGATTTTTAACAACAAAAGTTTCATTTTCAAATTTCAAGTTCATATAAAAATCAAATAATACATATTTGAGTAAAAATCTTGTTCACTGATCTCCCTCTTTACGACGCCATATTGAATTTGATGTCTTAGTTAAAACCGCCATTTTTGTTCACATCCGTCATAAACAATGTTATGATTCATCAAATGATTGATTTTTGCTACTTAGGTAAAAAGTTCTTCCCCATAACGTTCCTCGGGAGTATTCTCTGGATCGCTGCATACTCGTACCTGATGGTCTGGTGGGCAAATGTGGTTGGCGACGCGGTGAAAATTCCTCCCGAAGTTATGGGCTTGACCTTTTTGGCTGCAGGGACTTCAATACCGGACCTCATCACCTCTGTCATCGTAGCGCGGAAGGGCTTCGGCGACATGGCCGTTTCCTCCTCCGTCGGCAGCAACATATTTGATGTTACCGTCGGGTAAGTACACAACATTTACCGACTTTTCGAACAATAGTGCGGCGGTTTTGATTAATTACATTCCCTCATCGGTCTGATTGTCTATTCGTGCGCTTTCCATTATTGATATCAGAGGCGCAAATCGAATAATATTATCGAGGGGCAGTTAAACATCCCCGAAAACTATCCCAACGCTTCAAGATTCGTATCGATTTAAGCCGTTTAATTAAAGGGTCACTTCTAACACAAAAAACGAATGTTTGCACACTCGCTCAAATTCTGACAAGGAAATAATGCGGATTTGCTCGAAGCTCGACGCGATCCTTTTATTACTATCAGAAAAGGTGAGATCGATAACAACAGGGTTGTCCTCAAACGCACCAATCTTAAGCTTTACCATTTTTAAAGCCACTTTTTGTCATTTGTGTAGATAAAAATGGTGGATGCGCCGGGTTAAAGTAGTCTCTTTTATTAGTTTAAAAACTTTATAAACGCCTTATTAAAACTCAAAGTATTTAATTGTTTTTTAAAAAGATTAAGACGGTATTATCATAACTTTTTAACTATTGTGAAATATACAGGGTGAGCCATTCTTATTTAAATGATATTAATTTTGTAGTTACAACTATTATTGTCAATTTCATAATCGAATTTGAAGGAGCATTAAAATGTTGTTTAGAATGTGCTGATTGCTATGGACTTGTTGAGAAAATTTTCACCAACATAAAATTATAAAGTATTAATTTGTGTATTAATTTTCAAATATAATTAAATACCTATTTATTTTCAAAAATTCAAAATTTACACAATACAATTATTCACAATAATACACTCCGCGCAAAATTGTCGCGTATTTATAAATTTTATGTTATCATTTTTGTTAACTACTTTTTTCAACAGAGGTGAGACAAATATGCTCACCTATTCATTTCATGTTTTTTAAAGATAAATCAAAACGAAATGTTGATAGAATTGTGTTTAATTAAAAAAATCATGGCAATGTAATTTTCTCTTTAGTCGTGATATTTCTATTAGTTTATCAACGCTGAGTAGTGTAAAATAGACTGTTGTTGCCATATTAGTCCAGTCGGTAGGGAGTTTTGCCCTACAAAAGCAAGGGTAGTAGTAATTTTTTAATATGTTCTTAAGGTCTAGGCCTTGACAAAAATCCAAGTTTTTGACCTTGGGGGAGGACCGCTCGAGCCGCCATCTTGGATGGAAGGTACAAAAAATAGGTTTTTCCAAAATAACTCCGCAACGGTTGATTCTACGGCAAAAGTGTTCAGATAAAAATTAAAAAAGACAAAATTCCTCACATTACATTTAACATATTTTTGTAAGTCTAATGTGTAACGAGTTACAGCGGCGGAAAGATGAATATCTTTCCCAGAAAAATAGCAAACCTCCCCATTTTCGACGGTGAATTTTGTAATAACAAATTACTCTTGTTTTTAATGTTTTTTGAGCACCACACTAATTATACAGCGATATCTATTTTAAATTACATTGATTTGGATTATATGCAAAATGAATATTTGTTATTAAGAGGTATATCAACAAAATTATAAGTTTTCTATGCATATCTGATGTTTTTTGATTAAAATAGGCCAATTAAAAATGCATATTTTGCATATTTTGGCAACTTTGTGCATATTCTAGGAAATATTGCAAATCACAAATTTCTAATTAAAAATTTCAGTTCAAGTAAAAAATTAGACAGTTTAAAAAAAAAGATCCGATTACAAAATATGTTAAAGAGAAAAATTGTTTAAACTTTTGAGATTACCATACTATTAATATTTTTTTCTTAAATAAAACGGTTATTTATTTATTGTTTTTACAAAGATATGTTCATGCATTTTATAAATGTACAAAAATATTTATTAAAAATGTTACAATTTATGTTAAAAAAAATATAAACTTTATCAGTTGTTAAAACTTTCTTCCACCGGCCAAGGGGTGGTACGTTTAAACAATTAATTAAAATAAAAAATATCTTCTTTACAACCTTTAAACATTCATCAATTTATTAAAAAAAACGAGTTGTTTATTAAAAAAAATTCTTTAATACTTGTAAGACAAAAAGTCAAAACAAGAAGTGTTAAGTTAACAAAAAAAAAAAAAAAATAGCACAGCAACAATTCTTGTAACAAGCTCGTTGTCTTAAAAAAAATGTGGTAGATTTCCATTTAAAAAATATGTTAGTATGTTTATCTCGTATGTATAAACAATTAATTGATATTCAATTTTTTTTTTTTGGAATAGCAATTCTATAGCCATTGTACACATATAATTTTATTACCTATAATATTAAAAAGTTAGGTACTACTACCCCACCTTTTGTAGGGCAAAGGCCTTTTTTGGCTCCTACTGACTGCACTATATTCGATTTAAATGGAAGCTATTTGACGATTTTGAAAAAATCTTTTCGCGAAAGAACTTGCGGTGGTCGAGGTCTTCTCCGAAGAAAGCGAACCTCAACAATCCATTGCTCAATGATTAAGAGTAACTCATCTACCATTTCAAACGTTCTAAATCGATTTAGAAAGACAGGTGTCAATAAGAGAATGTCGCATCAGGGTAGAAAACAGGTCACAACCACAATTCACTTCAGATTTTGTCGCATAAGAGCATTGAGATAACGATTAGTAACAATTTCTAGCTTGAGTTAAGAGTTTTTACAATTGTATGATATTCAAATTTGACAGAAGAAGATTAACAAAGCATATTATGTCCGGTGCAACATTGTGAATACGGTTAGCTTTAGTGGAGGCCCGTACAGAATTGGTTGTTGTAATAATGAACCCTTAAGTGCCTATAGTTTTGATCAATTTTTATTTCATTTTCTTTAAAGTAAACTCTATCTGAAGCGACACGCATATGCCAACGTTAAACTCAATCATCAAAACTCTTCTCATAAACAGAAGAATGTATGGCTTTCAGTTCTTTCTGCGAATTTTGTTTTATGTCTTTTATGGACTTAAAACGCCTTTCTTGCAAGGCAATTTAAGATTAGGAAGTAGGAAAACGTGTCATGTTAGCTGAATACGGTGCTGGATTGATGACATTTGTTGAGTTTTTATCCAAAAATTTTTGCAGGATTGTCGCTGTGTGAGCAGCTGCACTGTCATGGTGCAAAATCCCAGAGTAGTCTTTCCACAAATCTGATCTTTTCCAGAGAATATTTTTTACAAACACAAACTTCACAACGGCTAAATAATATTACTTTACTTTTAAACCTAAGTGATGATTTACAGTCATCATTTCTTTGATTTTCTCTACATTTTTCACCGTCTTTGCTGTTGACGATCGTCCAGAACGAGGAAAGTCGGTAACCTCTTTCCGGCTCAATTGAAATGTTTTGTTCCACTCATATGTTTGTGTTTTTGACATACATTAGTTCCCAAAATTTTCAGAGATTCACTACACGAATTTTCGTTGGCAACACAAAATTTCAAGCAAATTCTCTGATCGGTAGTGGAATCTATGACAAAAATCGCAAATCTGATTTAAGCACAAGTCATGGTAAAAACAATTTCAAACAAACTACTTGACCTGTAGCGGTAAAATTTGGCTTGGTAAGATATATACCAGACAAGAATTATGAAGATATTTTCTACGTAAATTCTTTAAATCGAGAATTCCCGATACTTTTTTTACAGAGGTATGCACCATATATCAGCGACAATTTCTTGTTTATCCATAAGTCACACAGCACAAGTAGTGTGTCGATACCTTCACGACGTTGGTATTAAATTAACAATATAGACTGGCCAGCTCAAAATACTGATTTAAACCCCTATAGAGCACTTATGGGACTAGATGAAAAGATAAATTAAAGCTTGCAATTTGCGTCAATAAATCTATACAATCGTAAAAAAGGCTTGTTGAGATTTGGGGTGATTTTGATCAAAATTGCATAAGACAATTAATACCGAGTAGGGATAGGTGATGTCAAGCAGTAATTACCGAAAGAAGAATAAAGACGCATTATTAGACACTTTTGTCTTCTAATTTTTGAAAAAATGTTATGTGAATTTTTAAAACATTTCTTTATTTTGCGTTGCTTTACGTTGACAATAAAAACATACAGGCTGTTCCAATGAAAACGAGCCACCCCGAATATCTCAGAAACGAAAAAGACTTTGCAAAAACGCCGAAACAGGTCGATTTTGCCTTTGAGAGGGACATTTTTGACGTAATTTTTAAATCACACCCACGCACCCCAATTTTAAAAATTTAAATAGCACAACCCTACTTGAGGCACATCAAATGAAAGCTATTTTAACAAGATTTTCAAAACTTTTTACCAAAATTGAATCAGACCATCCATTCATGAGATACAGGGGGTTCTAATAAAAACGCACCAGAAAGAAAAACGAAACAGCTTAATTTTGTTTTTAAAAAAGACATTTTTTTACACAATTTTAAAAACACCCCCACTAACCCTTTAACTTTTCCCACCCCAATTTCTAAATTTCAAATGACACCGACTCACTTGCGACAGATCAAATAAAAGTGTTTTTAAAATGTTCTTTGAACCTCTTTTCTAAAGTTGAATGGGATTATCTATTCATAAGATATTCGCATAAAATTTCCAATTAGTAATTACTTCTAATAAAAACTATTAAAATAAATTGCAAGAAAGATACTAATATTGACTATTATTGAAGCTGTAACAAACTTATTTTTACTTCAAAATTGTCAAAATAATCGGACTAAAGGACAGGGGGTATGTAATAATAATGTAAGTATCTAAAAAATAGCAATATGGTTCTTAAGTTCCTTTCTACATACTGACTGCTGAAAGATTAGTTTTTTGCCGTTATTTTATGAATGTATAAAAAATCATTTCATTTTCGAAAAAAACTTTTAAAGAGCAGTGGTTGGTGCTATTTGACATTTTAGAGTTAAGTGGCAAAGAGGTTAAAGAGTTAGTGAAGGTGCTTTTAAAATTGCCTCAAAAATGTCCCTTTAAAAAAAAAATTAACCTGTTTCGGGTTTTTTTTGCAATTTTTTTT